ATAACCAAATATATCATGCTTGGCATAAATATTAAATTTATAGATAAGCTCATCTTATTGAATATTATCTGGTAAGACCGTAAGACCAAGTGAATTTAAATAACTCATAACTCGCAGGCATCTCCAAAGTAACAAGGTTTGTTTCAGCAAGCTATCCTCTTTATTGTAATCAAGATTTAATAATTATTGAACATGTCAGAGTGATTCATGTTTAAAATTTTAAATAAATCATATGTGTAACAAAACTAGCAATGGCATAAGAAAAATGAATAAAACACTACATGCAATGAGATTGACAAATTAATACTTAAAAAAGAAGACTCACAATGCCAACTTTAAATAGAATAAGTTTAAGGATGAGGATGAGTTTTTTTGTAAAAATGACAGGCTAAAGATAGGTATATGGAACTTCTTTATTGACATAGAAATAACTATCTAGTAAGGAGATATGGAAAAGAACTAACATTGTAGGTCTGAAAAGCAAAGAGGCGGTAAATTGGATTACTTAAATTTTTAACAATCTTTAGCCAATTCACCCAAAAGTGTGTGATGAAATATGAATTCAACAAAACAAAGTGCCATAAAAAATGGAGCAATTGCAAGTAGAGTAAAAGTATACAACTCAAAATAATAATTTTTAGGTGATTTGACCCAAGCCATTGATGTCCAATACCCAAGCTTGTGACTAATGGAAACTTATCATTTTCAAGGGCAAAAAAGTATATATGACCAAATTATTCTATTAAAAAAAGATTCAATCTAATGCATTTCCTTATAACTACAGTAGAAACTACAGTAGAAATTACATTTAGGGGCTGTTTGGTTGCCTGAATTAGGAGGGTAAAGTAAAGTAATTACATGTATCTATTAAATTTGCTTGTTTGGTTAATTTTGAGCGGAGGAACTGAATACCTCCGAAGCATTAGCGGGGTATTAGAAGAGGCAATTCACGCGACTTTGAAACTCGCTCAAATTGAGCGGGTTCCAAATTCTTTGAGGTCTGTTGCGGCATGATTTCGCCGAAGCTTACCTATATTCTCCCTTTTTCTCCGCTTTTCCTTGCTCTCTTCTCCGGTCCTTGCTCTCTTCTCCAGTCCTGCGATGGCACTGACGTTCTCGCATCGTAGCTGCTTGGTCTGCTTCGCCTGGTTCCGCAAAACCGTCCTAATTCGCCGCGCAATCTGTTATCCTCGACGATGGCGATCAACGCCACCGTCGATGAAACTGATCCCTGCTCGCCAAACACAACCGCACTATCTCCAAATCAACCTCCCAGCTCGCCCTCGTCGGCTCACACGTCTGCCCCATCGAAAGCCTCGACTTTGAGTACTCTTCCCTCTCCGCCTGCCACCTACTTCGTCCGCTCCACCTATCCCGGGTCGTCTCCTTCTATCTTTTATAGTGCGTTACTGCCACTGTCATCATCTAAAAAGCTTATTGAGTTCTATTGGCTATGGCGCATCTTCCTCGCATTTTCTTCTCAGTGGGTGATTAGCAGTGCACGAGATCTTCGATTTGCGCTACGATCAGTTCCTCTCGTTGAAGATCTATACGTCTACCATGGAAAGGTTATCAGTCTTGGCTATCATATGCTGTTTTCTTCTGGTCGTGGGCGTCGTACGGTGCAAGACAGTGAAGAGAGACGGTACAGATCTACTCGAAATCCCAGTTTCATTATCTAATTTTTTCTGTAATTTTATATGGATATCGGCCAGTTAAATATTTAGGATATGAAATGTCTTTTCCGGTTAAGGCGTGTTTGGGATTTTAGCTCCAGAGGTGGATGTGGTGGGTTATTGTCTTCTGTGATTCTGGCTGGTTTTGTTGGGTTTGATATTTGTTATTTGCGTTATTGCTATTTCGTTGGAATACTGGCTGAAGCTAAGTTATAGATTCTTTTTGCTATTTTCATTTATGTTATGATGCGGTGGAATTTGGGACTTTGAAACCATGACCCATCAAGAATGATGCGACCCAAGTTCAAAGGGTTATTGAACTCCCTGTTCTAACCCATCGTCCACAAACAAAAGAATTGGATTTGATGACAATGATTAAGACGGGATTCAGATAGATTGTGCATGAGTATTCGACAAAATTTTGCCCATAAATACCATTGTATAAGATAGTAATGTAATGGAGAATACTTACAGAATTTCTCTCTTCGTCTTCTCTGTCATTACGCAAACTCTGTTTTTCCTGTAACGAGAACTTTGAACCGTTAGCTTCACAGCAATACAGTTTTCAATTCTCCTCTATTTTTTTACTTCTAAGCATGCAACGGTCTTGTTTAAGAAGCAGGTATGTTTTTTTAATTTCACTTTATGAGTTTGAAGGTCTCCGATTTTATTCTAATTTTTATGGTGATGTGGCTTTTCAGGTGGCCTGGAACTTGTTAGCAGCCATTTCTGCCTTTTCATTGGGGGAATTCAATTATAATGATATGAAAATACGTCTTAATTTTTCTTATTTCATTAATCTCATCTGTTATCTGGGCCAACTAAATCGTGGTTTCTTGGACTTTTTCTTCATGGTCATCTGCATTCCTTTTTGTAGCAGTTTTTTTTGTGATTTGGAGACTTGTGAACATTTACTTGTATCACACTCGTGCTGATGTCTGATGATCACATAATTTCTTCTAAGGCATGCTTGTGAGCAGTCTGTAATATTTTATTCTTCATCATAATCCCAATGCAATTATTGAAAGTTTTCCTGTGACCCGAAGTCGCTGTAATATGGTTGTTCATTATACCTTTGAAAATTTGGAGTTGAATTTGTACGAAAATGTTTATGGGATTGCTGATGGAAATTCTGTCAATAGGCTGACCTCTTTCATGAAATTGTGTTAGGAAATGGGATGGCCTGATCATATGCAAGTTATAATGTTAATTTTCTCCTTTTTTTTAGTAAAAACATTTCTTGAAAAATAAAGAAAATTTTAAATTTTAAAGAATTTAAAATTAAAATTTATCTCTATCACAATTATATTTTCGTCTATTGTAGCACACAGTTAAATTAGTACACAACAGAATTTTATATTTTATAATTTTTTAAAAAAAATTTTACTTTACACTGCATTTCTTTTTCAGGCAACCAAACAGCCCCTAAGTGAATCTAGTGAAGTCGTCTACAATTACAAATCCATAATTTTTCCCACCTAGGCTGGTTGTACTAACGGGTCCAAATAAGTCCATGTGTAGGATTTCTAATGGCCTAGCAGTGATCACATCTCTAATTTAATGAAAAGATGATTTGACTTATTTTTCTAGTTGGTGAGCATCACATAAATGATCCTTTGTGAAATCTAACTTAGGTACGCCTCTAACTAGGTTTTTCTGAGTGATGTTTCAAAATTTTAAAGAATTTAAAATTATAATTTATCTCTTTCACAGTTATATTTTCGTCTATTGTAGCACACAGTTAAATTAGTACACAACAGAATTTTATATTTTATAATTTTAAAAAAAAATTATAATAAGATCGTGCAATAAATGAATACTCTGATTTTATTTTATAACACCAATTAATACTAATTATTATAAATATAATGTTTTTATAAATATATTTATTTTAATGCCAAAATAAATTATTAAAAAAATGCTTTTACTTTACTCTGAATCTACCTAACCAAACAAAGGAAATAATTCTCCTGCGTTTATTTTGCAGACACCCAAACAGGCTCAAAGTATTTAGAATGCATTACATTTACTTTACATTACATTTACTTTACACTGCATTTCTTTTTCAGGCAACCAAACAGCCCCTTAGACTACTCCATATACTATCTAATGGAATGATTAGGAAGTAGTAAAATAATACATATGCATTTAAGCTAATACAGGCAAACTAATAATATTTAATATCTAAGTATAAATATTTGTTTATATTATTTTAAATGAACATCGACAAACTAAGGGAAGATCATCAAAGTATATAATCAATCACACTTAATATCATGATTCTAACTAAATTATAATTCTCCATTAGATGGAAATTGTGGAATCTTAAAGAGCTTGAAGCATGTCCTTCCTCTATCATTTATCCTCCAAATTGTCAAACATTCCATCGTATTAGGAGAATAACCAAGTCAACTACCATTTATCCTCCTAATCCTAATGTCTACCATCAACTGTCATCCAAAACTTATTGCTCGATAACTCTAACACCTCAAAACTTGTTGTTGACCTATAACTACTAGTCGGCCCCAACTACCCAGCCAACCGGAGCCCCCACGACCTCACGATCGTTCAAAACCAACCCACCCATGATCTCCACGTTTGCTCCAAATGAAACAAAATCGGACATCCCCGACAACGAGCAAGATCTCAAGAAAAATGCTTCAAAGGGGCAACTTCAAGAATGGCATGAAAACAAATCAAGCAAAAATAAAAACGTTGTTGCTACATCAAAATTTGGATTGGTATGAACCTTCCAAAGTATGGGTTTCTCAATCGAGAACAGCAATGTATACTTTCCATAAGGTTTCTAATAAGGGCTGGTTTTGAAACCTCAAGAAAAGAGATAAGAAGTCTTGCAAACTCTTGGATGAAAGCTTGGCTATAATCAGGATATTGAAATATATGATGGATGCAACATTTAAATCTAATTAAATATTACAAAGAGTTAGGCGGTTATGCAGTAAAGATAATCTACATATTTTAGATGGGCATATGGTAATCAAACTATCAACCATATCGCCTCAACTGCTAATGATGACAACAGCAACTGTTATTTTCTTTATGGCTATAGCAGTTATACATGCATATAACAGTTACTTAAAACTCAAGTAATGATGAGTTGAATTCAAACTACGGTTTATAAGCAAATCACCACTCAATAACCACCGAAATGGATGAAATAATTGATTCAGAATATAACCACAACTAATATTGAGAGCCAGATCATCAAAACTGAACCCACAACGGACAGTACGTGCACATCGTGGAGGGAAGAATGGCTCATATAAAGAATAGAAAAGAAAATCTGAGGCTTTTTATGCTTACGGCTGTTGAGGTTTTGAGGGATTCGGTTGCTAAGAACCTCTTCTCCGCTCCCGAGTTGAAGAAGAATCGCAAGAGTTGCAATTTCCTCTGATACGCCTTGCACACTTGTGAGTAAAACAGAATCTCAAGTGAACCTTTCGTCCATGTCCGATCCGACGCTCCAAGCTCCCTGCACTCACCGACCCAACCTCCAGCCTCTTGCTTCGACGACCCCACAGACAAAGCCAACGTCGGTCCTATCGCCTTGCCCTAGCATCGCAGCCGTCTCTCTCTCTCGCACAGAATTACAAAATATTATATGTGTAGTAAAAAAAAACATAGAGAAAAAGATAGAGAGAAAGGTGAGAGGATTTTTTTAGGCAGGTGTCAAAGCAACAAAATTTTGAAGGAAATCTCGGGGTTGATCCGGTCACCTGAAGCCCTCGGTCGTCGAGATTATCCGACCGAGGGAGTGCAGACACTATTTGAAGAATTGATCGCTCTTCAAATCTCCTCGCCGTTGATTCGCTCCGGTCAAGTCAAGCCACTCCTTACCTCCCAGCGCCGGGGAGGGGACGCCGAAAGGCTTTCGAAATTTCCAGTGAAAACAAGTGGCTTAAAATTAAATGAAATTGGACTTGATTGAACAAAAGACTTGGATCAAATTTTAAACAATTAAAAGACCCTCACATGATATTAAAAAAAATAAAATGGCTATGAAGAATGATTTCTAAAATGATTGTGATTAAACGATATCCAAAAGCTATTTTAAAAGTCAAATTTAAATTATACAATCACCAATCAAAAAATCATTTGGTATATGTCAAATCCAACTATGATATTAAATCCAACTATGATATTAAATCCAACATACATTGTATAGTGCTAAACTAATAAAACAAAGGTTAAGTCCATAACTCAAGGTTCGAATCAGTCTCCTTCAGCATCTTTTTTGGTTTAGGATATTGAGATTCCTTTATATATAACTAAAGTTATCAAAAGATGATTAACTTTTCAATTGATAAAGTACATTTGGAATTCCCTAAGTGATAGTATGGATAATCTTCCCATGCAATATGGTTTGATACTTATGTTTTGATATAAAAACAAAGGTCGTGATTATGGTAGCATAGGTGTTGACGATGCCATAGTTTTAAATCCAATGGAACTACAAAATCTGTTGGAGGGTTATTGTGGATGTTTATATCAAATTACAATGAATAGAAGCTGAAGCTAAAAATTTGATTAGGTTATTAAACTTGTTTGTTCATATGAATCATGGTATACACATCATTATTGAAATATGCTTCCTAAGGATCCCTAAAGGAGTCTTTTTGGTCTAAAATGAATAAGATGATTTTTTTTCTAATGAAATTGGAAATCTCATGTATTTTGGTAGTGATGATTTTCATAAGGTTTGAGAATGACTATATTGCAAATTATCCATGAGGGGTATCATCCAATAGTAATTAAGCAAAATTGGGACTCTATGTTAAATACGATAAGACAACATAACACTTGATAATTAATTGTCATTTGATATCTTGCAATAAAGGACTTATCTAGGTTCCTTTATGAAATTATGAAAGTTCTTTGGAAACCCTTTACTATGTGGAGATCGACAAGATCTTTGTAGAACTGACAAGTCACACTAAAATTTACCTATAAATGGGAGCCACATAATTTGTAGTGTACTCTATGATTATGCTACAGGTATAAACGAGAAGCTCATACAAAACAAATTAGCATGTCTAAAAATAGAAGCGGGGAACTTCTAGTTCGTGCTACCATTAACTTATAAGCAGGAGTAAGAAATTGATAGTGCACATAATTAGCACGCATGTAGCACTAAGAAATTCATGACTAATGATGTAGCCCGCTCACAAGTAAGAACACAATCTCCTAGCATCTATTGAGCAAATCTCCTCTAGGAATTGTGTCAAATTACAATAAAAAAGATAAAATTATTTGAAATGCCAAAAAACATCTTTTCTGAAGCAAAATTCATCGATAATAACGCCACCAGATCCACAACAGGTGTAAAAGCGGAGTCGTAGGCCCTTAAAAGAAATCTCGGGCATTGCTAAATGAAATCATTAATGCAAATAGATCATATTTAAATATTTTAAAAAATTCTCCTTTATGTATTAAATATGACTCCTTAAATTAAAATCACTATACATGTGCTCCGACAAAGGCAATAAATTTCTAAACACCAATGTCCGAGAATGTTGCGCAGGGTCAAATGCTATAACCCGCAAATGCTCCGATCGTCATATCTGAATCTCAAATCCAAAGATTTGAGAATGCTGCGCGGGCCAAATATTCAAGTATCATCCTTCTCCTCAAAAGGACTGGAGTCGACCTGATTTGAATAATAAAATGCCCCCAAAATACCCGCATGGGCCCCGACGAGTGTTTTATGAAACACACGTGACGTCTAGAGATGTTGCGCGGGCCAACAACTGAAGTCAAGTATGAACTCAATCCTCTGTCACCAAGTTGACAAAGTCGATAAGGTTCAATCCACAAAATGCAAATATCTATAAGTCACCCAAATGATGGCCGTGTTGACAGAAAATCTCAACCGGAGGGATCAACTCTCAAATCAAACAAAAGCACAAGATTTTTGAAATGAAATATATCATCTAAAAACTTAAAACTAAAGCACATCCACATTCCGCAATTGTTTATCGGGGGTGATAAATTTGAAATTTATCTCAGCTCACAAAGAGCGAATGCGTATCGGGTGTATTTCTACGATTCATCCTCAAATAGTCTTTTACCAGCAAGGACGTAGCACATGCCCTCTGATCTGGTGGTTTTGCCGCAAAATGACACCATTATATTACGATCATGGCCAAAGCCCGTATGTTCTCTAACGGCGTCAAACCCTTCAGTTATGAATCATAGGGAATATTCGATAGGCATAAAGCCCTCTGTTAGCTAAGATGTATTCAAATTTATCCCCTTAGACAAACACCATCCCAGATCTACAATGTATTCTTGGACGAAGCAACCCATGGTTGCTGATAAGGTACCTTCTGTCAGGTTGGGTCGACTACCTCCTCTGACTAAGTAGACCATGGAACATGACAGCTCGGGACGACGGAACCATATGATCTTGATAGGGCTCGTCTTCACTCCCCCACCACCAGTTTTAATTTTATAGTGATAAACTCCAAATTCCAAACTTCAAAATTTAAATCCAAAACTCAAACTCTAAAATATTGCTATTATATGATGGGTTTATAACCTATTTGATCTCTTTAACGACTAGCCTTAATCGAAAGTGCTCTCTCATTATCGGGATGGGTAATTAACTATAGGGGTTTGCGCCTATAGGAAACCAAAACTCAAATCAAAAAGTCCTCACAAAATGAGGGCGAAATCTCTAGGTAGTGTCTTATCTAAAACTCAATCTGTCTTCTGAAAATTCACCTGGAACTTAAGCTCGTTAAAACTCTCTGCCATCGTCGTCACACTTAAAAGAGAGAGAGAGAGAGAGAGAGAGAGAGAGAGAGAGAGAGAGAGATGGATGGCGTGGAGAGGCTGGGAACACACTTATGAAATTTTTGGAGCCCATACATGTGTTAATCACAGGAGATGCATATCGTAGTTTATATCTATGACATTATATTAATGCCTCTCTAGTTATAGAAAGGGCATCCTTTGTACTTATGACCCGAACCAGTGGAACAAGTCAAACGAGCTAAATCCATGATTATTTCCCCTTCCTAGTTTTTTCAAGTAAAAATTCATGTGCTATTATATTAATGCCTCTCCCATTATAGAAAGGGTGTCCTTTGTACTCTTGAACCACAGTAGTGAAATTATGTCAAACTAGTTAAATCCAAGACTTCAGGTTTTCAAAGTAAAAATTCAGGTGTTATTATATTATGCTTTAAACTTATTTATTTGTGCATGAGATTTTCGATAATTATAACATGATTAATCTCCCTTTATACTCCTGAATATTCCAACACAGCAACAACAAAAATAAATAAATATTATATATATATACACACACAGTGGCGAAGCCAGAATTTTTTTTAATGTGGGGTCACAAATTATGAATTATAAAAATATCTTTGACATTATTCATCCGGATTTGGGACGACGATTTTAAAAAGTTTTTTATTAGACTTGTTATAAAAAAAAAGTTAAATTATATAATTTAAAAAAACTTACAATCAAGAGTACATGCTATTCATATTCTTCTTACATGACACCTAAAATTTCTCTCATCAAGTCTTCATTTTTGAAAAAATTGTACAATTACTTTATTATCAAAATTATTAAAAATATATATTTTCAATATAAGTCTAGACTTTGATGGAGAATTTAATAGACAGTGGATTATAATAATTACTTCTAAAAAATAATGAAAAATGATCAGAAAAATTAAAATTTTTATTCTTAAAGTGAAAAAATTAAAATTTATTCAAGAGAACTTAAAGTGCATGAGAAGTTTTAATTGAAAACCTTAAAACAATTTAAACTCAAATAAATTTTACAACTTAGATTTAAAATTTTTTTTGTCTACTTAAGAAGAAATAGAATACTAAAAAAAA